GTCTGAAGCCTTCCGGCGGTTTGGAAAACAAGTTGAGACCCTTCTTCTTTGTGGAAGCCCCTCAAATATTAGAGTACTGCTATCATTTTACCCCTAGTCCTTCTTTTTCTCTCGAGTAACCATATCCCTGCAACTGTTCTTCATATGTTTTAGTCTCCAAGCCCTCAGTCATTTTTGTTGCTTTTCTCTACACTCTTTCCGGAGGAAACCACCTAGAGCGGGGATGTCATACCGGAGCCGCGCCCAACCCATTGCCGGCAATGGCGAAAAAGCTCCAATACGTTGCGCAACGTCACGTGACGTTGCGAGTTTGACATGTCTGACCTAAAGTGAAGGCAAAAACTGTTTGTGAGAGGAGCAGGTGAAGCTGTTTGACAGATTTTGGGTCGAGAATGAGCTAAGTCTCAAATAAATTTAATAATAAATAAATACAAGAACATAAATAAAAATCTGGGAGATACAGTTCAGCTTTGGACTGGGCAGGGTGCGTGCATATCATGTTTTAGTTCTCCGGCCGGTCACTGAGAAACAGCTGGGGGGGAAAAGTTTACTATATATTTGGTTTACAGCAGCATTTCTTAAGCTCGCCATTTTAGCAGGTGTGGACTTCAGTCCCCAGAATTTCCCAGCCAGCAATGAAGTCCACACAGCTTAAAGCTGCCAAATTCTAGGAATGCTGGTTTAGAAAAGGCATGTAATAAAGCAAATAGGCTTGGATTATGGAACTTTTATTTTCCTGGGCTCCAAGATCACTGCAGATGGGGACTGCAGCCAAGAAATTAAAAGACGCTTGCTCCTGGGGAGGAAAGCTATGGCAAATCTAGACAGCATACTAAAAAGCAGAGACATCACCCTGCCAACAAAAGTGCATATAGTCAAGGCCATGGTTTTCCCAGTTGCAATGTATGGCTGTGAAAGTTGGACCATAAGAAAGGCTGAGCGACAAAGAATGGAGGCCTTTGAACTCTGGTGCTGGAGAAGACTCCTGCGAGTCCCCTGGACTGCAAGGCGATCCAACCGGTCAGTCCTAGAGGAGATCAACCCCGACTACTCTTTAGAAGGCCAGATCCTGAAGTTGAAACTCAAGTACTTTGGCCACCTAATGAGAAGGAAGGACTCCCTGGAGAAGAGCCTAATGCTGGGAAAGATTGAGGGCAATAGAAGAAAGGGACGACAGAGAATGAGGTGGCTGGATGGAGTCACTGAAGCAGCAGGCGTGAGCTTAAATGGACTCCAGAAGATGGTAGAGGACAGGAAGGCCTGGAGGAACGTTGTCCATGGGGTCGCGATGGGTCGGACACAACTTCACAACTAACAACAACAACAATGGAACTTTGTGTGAACATGGAGTTGAAAGTTGGTGGCTGAAAGTAGGAAGTGTATGATGGAAGTAAACATGTAAGGGAACGAATAGAAGGCTACAGCACTAAGCAGGATAAGAATGTGCTATGTTCCCGTGATTGTTTGACATATTTTTATAGATAAATGCTTGTGTAGATGTCAGAAGTATATTAGATGCGAGTGTAAATGTATGTGGGTTGGGCTTTTGAAGATGTCAAGTTGTGGGCTGTGAATCCAATTGATTTGTGGCAAATGTCAAATAGATCCTATGAGATAATGATAAGCACAAGTCGAAGAATTAATTGATCAAAGGCCAAGGGAGTTGACGAAGAAAACGCAGAGGAGGACTGCAAGTTAGATGCAAATGGCCCACCTGCCAGAGCAAGTAACAGATTTGCATAAGTTGATGGAATGTTTACTAAAGATGGGGAAATTGATGAAGACAGTTTACGATGTGCAAATGTTTACAGAAAAAGTTGAAGGGAGGGTTGGATATGTCAGGAGAAATATGAAAATAGGTTGTATGCAGTGGAAATGGGTTGCTTGGCAAAAGAAGGGAGAGGATCAAGAATTTGTGGGCAGTAAATGAAGGTGGTTTGAAACAGGGATTGAAATGAGTGGCCTTAAAACAGATTGGGCAGCTGCAGCCCCTTTACGACCTGTGAACCTCAACTCCCAGAATTCTTGAGTCAACATGGCTGGTTCAGGAATTCTGGGAGTTGAAGTCCTCAAGGGCCACAGTTACCCACCTCTGCCTTAAAGGAAAGAAGTCCACTGAAGGGGCTGATAATATGGAGAGAATAAATGGATGTGGCCGGATCCCACTGATGAGGCCTTCCAAAAGGCGGGGGGGGGGGGAGCACATGTTTAAAGAACAAATAGCAATGGATGGAGAATGGGTGGAAGTGGTGGAAGACAAGATGCTTTTCCAGGACAGAAAGACACGGAGAAAAGTGGAAGGGCTGCGGTGAATGAGAAATCTATCCCCCATCTCAGGGATAGGCAACCTTGGCTCTTTTATGACTCGTGGACTTCAACTCCCAGAATTCCTGAGCCAGCATGGGGGAACTATGGCCCCTTCATGACTCGTGGACTTCAACTCCCAGAATTCTGGGAGTTGAAGTCCACGAGTCATAAAAGAGCCGAGGTTGCCTACCCCTGCCCTATCTCATATCTTTAATTTACAGGGAGTCCTCAACTTATGAGCACAATTGAGACCAAAATTTCTATTGCTAAGTGAGATAGTTGTTAAATGAGTTTTGCCCCATTTTACAGTCTTCCTTACCACAGTTGTTAAGTGAATCACTGCAGCTGTTAAATTAGTAACAGGGTTGTTAAGTGAATCTGGCTTCCCCATGGACTTTGCTCGTCAGAAGGTCGCAAAAGGTGATGATACGTCCCTAAGACAATGAAACTGTCATAAATAGGAAGCAGTTGCCAAAAGTTCACATTTTAATCACACAGCCATGGGGATGCTGTAACAGTCGTAAGTAGGAAAAACGGTCATAACTCACTTTTTTCAGGGCCACTGTAACTTTGAACGATAACTAAAAGAACTGTTGTAAGTTGAGGACTCTCTGTAGTTCCTTAGCTTTTCTGTGCTTTGTATAATCTTGATGACCACAAAAAGGAATAGCATGATGGGTATTTATGTAAAGTGAGAGTCAGGTCCACCATCGTGTCCTGCCATTCGGTCGGAGGGCGGGGAGGAAGGTTTGCCGGCATCTATCGCATTGCTTTCGCTTTCGCTTTCGCTGTAACCGCTTGGGAATTAGGGAGGGGGATTGTCTTCAGAGACGAAGCAGACTCCTTTCCAGCCGGTTCCAGCCTGGTTCCAAGGCCGTCATGCCCTGAGTGTGAACTGTTATCTGCCCAGCACCTCAGCATTCTCAAAACATCTTCTCGGCATCACATTGGCTGCCGATGGACTGGTTAAGGGGGTTGGGATTGGAAAACCAAAATAATTGCTTTGTGCTTTGTGCAGGACTTTCAGATTGTGCCTGACTTTACTGCAACCACTTTCTCTCAGTAAAAGCTCTTTTGAGTCTTACTTTCCAGAGGGACCAGCTGGGGCAGGTCCTTACAGCGAGATTGCTAATTTGCACCCAAAAGAGGAAGATGAAGAATGCCTGTTATAGCCTGAGCATCACTTTTCATTCTTGGGGACGGAGACACCAGGAAGGACATGGAAAGAAGCCACCTGTTGAGCGAGGAGATTCCCTGGCTTGAATCCTGAGTAGGGGATTGTCTTTCAGCCAGCCTTGGTTCCTAGAGCTAGTTATCTGTGCACCTCAAAAATCAGTAGTATCAGTCTGTGGCAGTTTGAAAGAATGAAAGAAAGTGGCCAAATTGCAAACCAATAAGTCTGGGGATTTTTGCTCTAGACCAGTGCCTCTCAACCGGTGGTCCATGGACCCCTGGGGGTCTTCAGTGACTCACAGGGGGTCCCCAAAGGCTTGAAGAAATGTTATGATTTACATCTTGAGTTACGTCTTGGGGATCCGTGTCCATGGTTCGTGGCCACAAAAAGTATTTAAAGGGGGTCCATGGCAAAGAAAAACTTGAGAACCACTGCTCTAGACACCTCCAGTCTGAGGGATACACACACACACACACAAACACACACACACACACCAGTGAAAAGGAAAACCGTCCCATCTCTCTGGTTTTGTGGGCCAATTGAAGGAAGGTGGCATTCAGGCCAGTGGTGCCCAGAGGCAGGCACCAGAAGTGATAAATTCTTGAAAAACCACAGCAGGTAAGGTTTTTTTAACAATTCTATTGAGAAAATATCCACAACACACAAAAAGAATCTCAGCACAAACCCTCTCCGAGGCCCAGCTGGCAGGTGCAACTAACCTCCCACGGGGTGTCTGAAAGGCTGGCCCCATGCTGCACTGCCCCCGTCTCTCCCTGGAACCACCCGTGTTTAGAGGGGATCTTCTGAGACTAAAAGAAGTCAGAGACCCCGTGTGGCCCCCACCCTGCATCTTGAGCCAGAAGAGCCCAGAGGAGAAAGGCTTAGCAATGCGCTGGGCACCACAGGTCACCTCGGCCAGCTCAGCTTCAACCTCTCTGTGCCTTTCCTGCTGGACGCGGCTGGTCTCTCAGAAAGGGCCCAACGCAGCGGGTGGTTGTGAGTGAGCCAAGAAAAGCGCGGTTTCCCCACAGGCTTTGGCTCAATAGAGGTAGTCCTTGACTTACCACGTTTACAACAGCACTGAAAAAGTGACTTATGACCATTTTTCACACTTACGACCATTGCAGCATCCCCAGGGTCACGTGATCAAAATTCAGCCACTTGGCAACTGACTCATATTTATGATGGTTGCAGCATCCCGGAGTCACGTGATCCCCTTTTGCGATCTTCTGATAAGCAAAGTCAATGGGGGAGCCAGACTCACTTAACAACCGTTACTAGCTTAACTCCAGTGATTCATTTAACCATCATGAAACAGGGCAAAACCCACCTAACAAATACCTCACTTAGCAACAGAAAGTTTGAGCTCAACTGTGATGGTAAGAAGAGGACTATCTGTAATCCCTTTTCTACCCCCACACATTATGGACATGTGCAGCCGTCACGCAAAAGCATGGGATCCCCTGCAACAGGAAGGGATCCGTTTTTCTTCCACGCGTCACCAAGAAGTCAGACTTACCAATCACCGTCAGGACCTCGTTCTCGATGTCCGCCTTGATGTGAATCCGGCCCCGGCGCTCGGTGTGGTCCGTCCCACAGAGGCTCGGCACATTCATCACGCAGCGCTTGTGCACGTTCATCATGCAAGCTGAGGCAGGGAGAGAAAAGGCATCATCAGAAGACAAGGCTGAGTCTTGATAGCAATCCTCCGATGTCTGAAGGGCTGTCCCAGGGAAGCAGGCGTGGCCTCAGTCGCCAGAGTGCCCAGAAACCAACAGGGAGGAAATTTACACGAGATACCCCAATTCAAAATAAGGAAGATCTTCTGACTCTCAGGGCTATGAAGCAGGGTAAAAGCCCCCTGGAGTCACTGGGGCTCCATCCACTCGAGTCAAGATGGGGTAGCCAAACATCTGGGATGATTTGAGGATTCCTGACCTGGACAGACCAGGGGATCAACTAGGTTCTCTATAAGACATACAAGGTATCTGGGATTCTACCATGCTGTTTTGGCATGCCGGGAAAATGCTCTTTAAATCTGGAGGCCCCCAAAGGGCTATAGGTACGTCTTTTCATTGCACTTCCTTCTGCCTGTTTTTCCAAAATGTTTCCTTCCCAGGGAGATATGAGAAGAAATACTATGGGGGTGGGGGAGGGCAGGAGGCCCTCCCCTCCCACAAGCAGATTGCTCCCTATTGGACTGATATTTAAGAACATCACTACAGAGTAACTCCTCCTTCAGACATTAACTGGGGTTCTTCTCCCTGTGGAGCCCCTAGGACTTCTACAAGCCTGGGATATTCCAGGGGTTCAGCCTTCCTCTCCCCCAGCCCGTTCTCAGGATTCTGAATGCCTCTCCCCAGGACCTTCGGCTCCAATGGAAACAGGAAGACTACTGGAAAAAATGCAGCACCTGCATTTTCTGCGTCGCATGAGAAAAGCACATCTTCCTTCCCCTGTCCTGACCACTTTCTACAGGGGGACGATCGAGAGCATCCTGTCATACAGCATCACAGTCTGGTTTGGAAGTATCCCTGCTTCAGACAGGAAGACGGGGCAGAGAGTGGTGAGGATGGCTGAAAAGATCATTGGCAGTTCCCTCCCTCCCATCCAGGACATGGCACAGAAGCGCTGCTTGAGCAGGGTCCATAAGATTATCTGGGACACCACACACCCTCTTCACGACCTGTTTTCCTTGTTCCCTTCTGGGAGGAGGGGGCTCCGTGGTATCCGAAGCAGAACATCCAGATTCAGCCAGAGTTTCATTCCATACAGCATTAACCTTGTGAACTCTCAAGCTTCCTCCTTCCGTTATATATTCAAGATGGACAGTGAATAATATTTATATGTTACTTATATCTACCTATCTACCTACCTACCTATCTACCTATCTATCTAATAAGCTCTAAGGAAGCGGTGATAGGAATCCTCAGACATGTATTTTTCTGCATTCCCTCAGCTACCATGTGAGCCCAGAAAAAGATGTGCCTTATTTAGGAGGCTGCTGGTGCCCCTTCGGAAGCCTCCTGCCTGCCTGGGATCCAAATACCTGGAGGGAAACGTTTTGTTTGCTTCTTTGGTCTCTGACACCTCGGCACATTAGGTAGGTGGCTGCAATTTGTAAGGCGGGCACTAGGGGGCTCCCTAAGCTCATATTTTGTGATTGCTAGCCTACCTTTCCTGCATTGGGAATTTTCAACTTGGAATCACAGAATCCGAGGGCTGGAAGGGACCTTGGAAGTCTTCTAGTAGTCCATCTCTGCCCAAGGCAGGAGTCTTTGTATCATTCTGGACCAATGGCTGTCCAATCTTTTCTTGAACACCTCCAGCGATGGAGCACCCACAACTCAGGAGGCAAGCCATTCCAGCGATTGACTGTTCTCACTGACATGAAATTTCTCCTTAGTTCCAGGTTGGATCTGTCTTTAATGATCTTCCGTACATTACTTCTTGTCCTGCTCCTAGGTGCTATGGAGAAGACCCATCCTCTCTATGACTTCTCTATGAAGACCCATCTTCTCCATGACTGCTCTTCAAATGCAGTCACCCCTGGTACTTCTCTTTTTAGGCTAGACATACCTAGTTCCTGCAAATGTTCATCGTATGATTTAGCCTCCAGGCCCCTTATCATCTTTGTTGCTCTTCTCTCTGCTCTTTCTAGAGCCTCAGCATCTTTTTTGTATAATGGTGACTGGAACTGGATGCAGTATTCCAAGTGTGGTCTCACCAGTGCAATATAAAACGCTACTATCACTTCCCATGATCTTGATGTTATCCCTCTCTTGATACAGTCTAGGACTGCACTGGCTTTTTGGCAGCTGCCACACCCTGCTGGCTCATACTTAAGCGGTTGTCCAATAAGACTCCTAGATCCCTCTTACAGTCACTACTATTGAGCCAGGTACCACCTATTCTGTACTGTACATTTGATTTTTCTTGCCTAAGTGTAAAACTTTACTTTTCTCACCGCTAAACTGCATTTTGTTGGCTAGGCCCAATAGTCAAGTTTGTCAAGATCCTTCTAAATCTTATCTTTTAAAGTCTGGGCTATTCCCCCTAGCTTGGTGTTGCCTGCCAATTTGATGGGTTCCTCTTCCATCTCCTCATCTAAATAATCTATGAGAAACTCTTCAAGGGTACTGGGCAACATGGAAATATGACTACCTGTTGAGTTGCAGAAGCCACCCCAGAGGGCGTGCTGCTCCAGCTTAGTCTGTGATGGGACTCCCGGTAAGACAGTCTGTGGCTCTATGGGCAGGGAGACGCTTTGCCACTCCTCAAAAGCATGGCAGCCCCTCAGGTAGCAATTCCAGAGGCAGGAAGCCTGGGCTCTATTCGCACAGGGACCCTCTGGCCCTGATTTGTGTCAAGGGATGAAGCTGGTCTGCAGGCTTTCTTCAGCAAGTCTTAGGAAGAAGCGCTGAGGCTGCCAGGAGAAAGCACCTCTTGCCTTCCACAGTCCAGGTCTGACCCCCATGCATGGTTGTGCCCCTGTACAGTGCACCAATCAGGGAGTAGCCAGCCCTGTGCAGCTGGGCTGGTGGCTTGTGGACTGGTGGCATGATAACCAAGCATTTCAGGGAGAGAGGAGTTAGGGCAGGGGGGCTCTGGAGGTTACCCCTCACCTTGATGTGCCTGGCAGCTTTGCCCCACACATTCAGTGCAGGGAGGAGGCTGACACACCACCCGTATCTGCATAAAGGAATAGCAGGGGATTGTGAACCCAAAGACGCTTTTTCCAAAAGACAACTGGACTTTCTTGGTTTTTTTCTCTTGAAAACATTTCACTTCTCATCCAACAATCTCTTGGATAGACAAGTGAAACATCTTCAGAGGAAAAAAACCAAGAAAGTCCAGTTGCCTTTTGGAAAAAGCACCTTTGGGGCAACCATGACCTGGATGATTGAGAATCTCCATAGACATTGTGAAAGGACAGAGATGTTCCCACACACAGAGACTCCTTGCCTGCAACTGGTGAGAGACAAGACTGGCAGCTGCTTCCTTGCATTCACACACACACACCCAACCTCCTCTGTTCCCTCCGAGGCAGCAGCTCTATTCTCTGCTCGTTTATCATTTTGCCAGGGTGCCAGAGCTGCAGCTGCCCGGCCCACAGCTCCCCCATGCAAGGAGCCCCCCTTCCCGTTTCTCCCACTGCTCCGATATGCTCAGAAGGACCCCTGCAAGAATAGGTGAACGGAGCAGGGCGTTTCCCTGGGACCAGACCTCGCTGGCTGGGACTTACTGTCGCATTTCATCCCCTGGTGGATAAGTCCGTACAACAAGGAGCCGCAGTGATCGCAGAAAGTTGGGCTGGAGTATGTGTGGATCTTGAACTTGTGCTTGCTCCGAGGGTCCTGGAGGAAAAGAGAAGGGTCAGGTCAGATCAGGGCCTCCTCAGCAGGGTCTCCCAGATCCACAAGCAGCTGCCTGCTGGTATGCAACATTACTGTGGCGATTGCTGTTCATGCTGGAAGCCTCTGCTGCAGTTTTTCAATCGCTCTCATTCGTTTTGATGCAAAAAAAAGGTGGTTTTTTTCATTTATTTTTCCGAAGACGGAGGCATATTCAGTGGCTCTTGCATGGGTGCAATCTACTCTTTCTGGGCTTCAGTTCCAGGATGCCTGGAGTCTCCCTGACTGACCCCACTTCCCTCCCAGGAGGAGCATCCCTTGCACCAGGAACTGTGGCCAGCAAAGGAGGCCTGCGGAGAGGGATTGAAAAGGCGCCCCTGTAAAGCAATTCCAGTGTTCTCGGTGACTGAGCTCCAAAACATGGTTTGACATAAATTGGAAAGCATCTTTAAAATGTGGGGGGAACTCTTTTTGCCATGGAAAAAATGCTGGGGAAATATGAAAGCCCTGATCTTCACGATGATCTCCTGGGCATTTTCATAATTCAAGGCACTTCCCAGGAGCCTGATTCAATCTCACACTAAAGCTGCTCTCTAAAAAAAACCTCCAGGGAGGAGGGGATGAAAGCAGGCCTCCCCAGACTCAGCCTTCACTCAGGGTTGCTGTCAGGAAGCAGCCACCCCCCCCAGCCTGTGGCCAATTTGGGGGACTCCACGCCTGTCTTCACATGAGCTGCACCAACTCAGCTCAAGGTCCACCCGGGAGAGACCCCCGCTGCTTCTGTGAATGGGAGCGAAGTCAAGAAGCTGTTGCCCACCAGAGCCTAAACCTCTCTTCCATTTCAACACCGTCCATATTTCATTACTTGAAAAGCAAAACACCAGTGAAAAATCATTTGGTGCCTATTACAACACTTCATATTTAAGTCAAGTCTCTTCATTTCAGTCATTGACCAGCATTTAACCTTGAAGAATCTAAAATTTTACCAGGAGGCAGAATGTTTATAGGGAAGGTGAAAAGCAAAAATCTCACATCCACCACTTCCCTGAGCACTTCCTTAACAAGGACAGTGATTTGGGCTGAGGCCCTCTGATCCAACAGGCACCAGACTATGGCTTACCAATCTTCTCCCAATCTGCTGCCTCCCAAACGCTTTGGTCTACAATTCCCATCTCCCCTGTTTTAGTCCCAATATTTGGCACACATGAGCTCAGAAAGACATCCTGCCCATCCCTTCTTACAGTCAGATTTTATATGACCTGATAAAAAAAGGCCTGAGGCACAAGAGAGAAGCAACAGAGGGAAGTGATCCAGCAAGAAGGGGCCACCTCAATGCCTTATGACAAGTGAACGATCAGTGCAGGCGATTGTTAGCAAAAGTATCTTCAGGACAAGGTCCATCAAGGTTTCTCTCTGGTTCCTATCAGGTGGATTGTGCCAGCACCCTGCTTGAGCCCACAGCAGAAACTCCACTGGAAGAGAGTGGACAGCCATTACTCTGGAATGGTCTAGGGCAGGGATAGGCAACCTGGGCTCTTTTATGACTCGTGGACTTCAACTCCCAGAATTCCTGAGCCAGCCATGCTGAGGGGAAAGGGAGAGTTTCCAAGCTGAGCCAGGCTGGCTCAGGAATTCTGGCAGTTGAAGTCCACGAGTCATAAAAGAGCCAAGGTTGCCTACCCCTGGTCTAGGGTCAAGCAGGGGATTGGATTGAAGACCTCCAAGGTCCCTTCCTACTCTGTTATGTTGTTATTCTGTTTGTTTATGGAAGATGTTACTTCACAGGGATACAATCTCTCTAAGGAGGTTGCGAGGTGGAGCCAGTTTTATGGAAAGGGATGGGCTGATTGAGCAGAGCAGCACCAGAGCAGGCAGAGGCCAAGGCCAGGGGCTTTGCACTTGGGCATCTGTCTGTCCCAACCAGCACATCAATGGCTCCTCTGCTCTGGGAACCAGAGGAAGTCGGTATGAGGAGAGGAGAGCAGAGCAGAGCACAATCCTGGATCTGCTAGGATGTAGAGCCGAAGGTCCAGAAACTGCCTGGAGGTGCAGTTCAATGCATGTCTACAAGCCTCCCACTGAGGGGGCTACATGGATTCCCCTGCCCCAATTCAAGGCTTCCTTTGTGGGAAGAATTGTCTGTCCTGGTTCTTGCAACACCAGCAGAAGGGAGGGGAGAAACCTACCTGCTACCGTGAGGGAAAGCAGGTTGCAGCTCTAAGGCTTTATGAGAAAATGAGATTTTGAAGTGGGATTAGCTTGACCGCTAAGAGGCAGTTGGAGTGATGGGACCAGACCCCAGGGCCTTCTTGCCAACGTGTCTGGGCCGACATAATCAGGGTAGCAAACCTTCCAACCTTGGGGAGACAGAGCTCTAATAGAATTTCACTTTCTCAAACTGCTGAACGGCGATTCTTTGGGCAGCAGCTTTAGCAAAGTTAATTGCTTAAAATTCTACAGAGTCTTCAGTCTAAGGCAACCTTGCCTCCAATTCATTAATGTTCCAGATGCTCCTTTGAATGGCTGGGCTGACAACTGAGTAATGAGAAGCCAGGAAAAAAAATGGGGGTTAACAACAATTAACCTCTTTTCAGCAACCATCAGACAGAGTCTAAATCACTAATTAAGCTACAGTATTCAGAAAAACATCTCTGCTTCCAAGGAAGATGACAGTCTTTTAAGAGGGCAAGCAACATGGGGCACGCCAGTGGAAGATCAAGGGTCAAGTTTATTTTGGGCTCCTTCACCCTTCTTGACTTCTGGGTTTCTTGTAAAGAAGGTGAACCAAATGGATGTAGTCTTGCTCTAGGAGGCATTTCAGATGAAGCCTTAGTAAGACTACACTTGGAATACTGCATCCAGCTTTGGTCACCATATTATAAAAAAGATGTTGGGACTCTGGAAAGAGTGCAGAAAAGAGCAACAAAGATTATTAAGGGGCTGGAAGCTAAAACACATGAAGAACTGTTGCAGGAGTTGGGTTTGTCTACTCTAGTGAAAAGAAGGACCAGGGATGACATGATAGCAGTCTTCCAATATTGAAGGACTCCTACAAAGATGAGGAGGTCAAACTATTTTCCAAAGCATCAAAAGGCAAGATGAGAAACAATGGATGAAAACTAACCAAGAAGAGAAGCAACCTAGAACTAAGGAGAATTTTCCGAACAGTAAGAACAATTAACCAGTGGAACAGCTGGCCTTCAGAAGTTGTGGATGCTCCATCACTAATCACTGGAGGCTTTTAAGAACAGACTGGACAGCCACTTTCTGGAATGGCATAGAGTCTCCTGCTTGAGCAGGGCGTTGGGCTAGAAGACCTCCAAGGTCCCTTCCAACTCTGTTATTCTGTTAAATACAGTCCACCAAATGGATAGCCATCAGCAACGCCACCTGATCAAGAGGCCAAGGTCCTTGCTGGCCCAGAGCCTCCATCTCCCAGTAACAAAGTGTGAGGAGATGCCCTAGTCTGGGCTGTGTAAAAAAGCCAGTAACTATCTAGGTATCCAATGAGCAACCACCTCCACTGCACCAGAGGAAGGACTTGTAGCATAGTTTGGGACATACATCTCTGTCTTTAACACTGCCTGCCCCTGAGCCCTGTTGACAACAGAGTCAGAGACTGTGGTTTGGAAGAACAAACTAGGAATATTTTAAAGCATGTTCCAATAAAATGTATTTGTTCACTTCAAAGCAAAGATTCCCTGGGGCAGCTTACAACAATAAGTTTGGGAATGACAACTATAGTAATAAAAGTATAATATATAAGTCAGAAAGGCACAAAATACCCAGGGCCCTTTTGAACATCCTGTCCTCAGAGCTGGGGAAAGTGCAGAGAGTGGCTGCTTTGCCCGTCCAACCATACGTGGGGCTCCAAGGACTGCAGGAACACAGCCTTTCTTGGCTTCCAACAGGCTGTTTCGTTATGGGGTGATGGAAGACGCATCAAGGACAAATAAGTTGCTCTCAGCAGCAGAAATAGCCCCAGGGTGTCCTTGTTCGTTTGTCAAAATAGAGCCACAAGTTGCTGAATCCCAACAGAAATGAAAGAAGGGTTGGCTTGCATCTTACAAAAAGGAAAGATCAATTACAGACCCAGGAAACTACAGACCAATCCGTTTAACATCAATACCTAGGAAGATCCTAGAAAAGATAATCAAAAAACAGATCTGCAAACAACTAGAAGCAAACAAAGTTATAACCAGTAGCCAGCACGGGTTTGTTAAAAACAGATCATGCCAAACCAATTTTATTTCATTAACTCAAGATTTAAACTGTAACATTTCTTCAAGCCTTCACTGACCCTCTGTGATGACATCAGGGACTCTCAGGGGTCCGCGGACCACAGGTTGAGAACCACTGCCCTAATCAATCCCTTCATGATTGGAAGACCACTATCAGGTCTCCCCTGAGCCTTAACTAAAGATACCGAGTTTCTTTTAACAGTTCCACGTAGGATTCAGCCTTCAACCCTTTGCTCTGCACGAGTTTCTTTTTTTAATAGAATTATGATTAAAGATTTTTACATGAGTAAAAGATACATATATAAAGGAAAGTTAGGAAAAAGCAAAAAGATAAAAGGTGTGAGAGACAATACAGATAAAGAAAGGAAAAGTTGCTTAAAGAAGTGACTTGTGATCTTCTTTATGGCAGTTACTTATTATCCCACCTCCCTCTTTAAGATGACATTACTTGGTTATATTCTTCCCATATTCAACCCTTTTTAATCAGCAAATTCAGAAATCAAGATTTGGGGTTTTTTTCCATTTTCATCAAAAAGACCATAAAAGATTTCCAATCTTTTATACAAGTACTCATTGCTTTTATCCCTGATCAAACAGCTCAGTTATGCCATTTTTGCAAATTCTGACATCATCCTAATCCACTCCTCCACTGTGGTTTTCAATTATTCCTGTGTTATGTAGATATATTCATCTTGCTGCAATTACCATATACAAAATCAACCTTTTACTTTTTTTAAAATTGGTTATACATAAGTCCCAATA